GAACTCCAACTTGCCTCCGCCGCCCGCTTTAAAACCTCTGAGCTCCCTCTCGACTCACCACCCTCCGTCTGCACACCCTCCCCCTCTGCAGCTGATGCCTCAAAGCCAACCACTGCAGTCCTCGCAAGCCCAGCCTCCTGTTCTGACCCAGAGTCAGAGCCTTCCCCCTCCTGCTAGTCACCCCTCCTCTGGACTCCATCAGGTATCCTCCCAGCCCCCCTTTTCTCAGCATCCCTTTGTCCCAGGGGGCCCACCTTCCATCACCCCTCCTTCGTGCCCCTCCACCTCCACGCCACCCACCATGCCCGGCATCCCGCTCCAGACTTCCATCTCCACGTCAGCAGCCTCTAGTGGGACGGTGCCCGTGGTGACAGCCTGCACGCTGCCACCCATCCAGATCAAAGAGGAGGTCCCAGATGAAGCTGAGGAACCAGAAAGCCCTCCCCCTCCACCCAGGAGTCCATCACCAGAGCCCACTGTGGTGGATATCCCAAGTCACGCCAGTCAGTCAGCCAGGTATGGAAGTTTCACCAGTTAAGCACCGATTGTGCTCTGATTTTACATTCCATTGTCTGTGGAGTAACATGGTTCAATTAATTTTCTCCTGGCTTTCAAGGAAGCTGCTAGTGCTTTGTATAAGTGCAAAGTGATAGTTTTTTTTATTATTGACATACAGCTCTCAAATCCCAGACTCTTGCATCTTTCCCAGGGATAAGCTCCTTCTCTCGTGCTTCTTTCAGGTTCTATAAGCACCTGGACCGTGGCTACAATTCATGCTCCAGAGCAGACCTGTACTTCATGCCTCTGGCAGGATCAAAACTGGCCAAGAAGAGAGAAGAGGCCATTGAAAAGGCCAAAAGGGAAGCGGAGCAGAAAGCCAGAGAGGAGAGGGAAAGAGAGAAAGAGAAGGAGAAGGAAAGAGAGAGGGAGCGGGAGCGGGAACGAGAGGCGGAAAGAGCTGCGGTAGGTTCAGCGGGGGCTCGGAGCGGTGGGAGGGAGCTGGTGGTTGGGTCTGACCTGGGTGGTCACTGCAGAAAGCAGATCCCAGGAGCACTGTGATGCCTGTGCAGTTGGGTGTTCCTGAATATGGAGCTGTGTGTATCCAGCCCACTCTGGGACTGTCTTCTCCTTAAAGGAAATGGAGAGCTTCTGCTCCTGCTCTGTGTCTGGTGTGAGGGAAGCCAGAGCAGCTGGGGAGAAGGAAGCCAAGTGTTGACATTCACTTGCAGTAGAAAAACACTGTGCAGATACAATAAATGTCTTTGTGTCCCTTGCACTAGTGTGCAGGCACATGAGAGTTGTCCGCAGGGAAAAAAGGCATCTGAAGGCTTCTTAAAGTTGAAGTGAACTTAATTAACTTCCTTTATGAGGAGATCTGAACTCCAGTGTTGGTATAGAGAGCCAAAGTCTGAACTTAACTGCTTGAGGCAAAGATGGGAGGTGTGCACCTGCAGTGTTCTGAGCTGAGTGTGTTGGACTAAACTTCTCTCCCCCGTTCTGTGCAGCAGAAGGTATCCAGCTCCTCCCACGAGGGCCGTCTTGGCGAGTCCCAGCTCAGCGGGCCAGCACACATGAGACCTTCATTTGAACCTCCCCCGACCACCATCGCTGCTGTTCCCCCCTACATCGGGCCGGACACGCCCGCGTTACGGACACTGAGCGAGTACGCGCGGCCTCACGTCATGTCGCCCACAAACCGCAACCACCCCTTCTTCGTGCCCCTCAACCCCACGGATCCACTCCTGGCCTACCACATGCCCGGCCTCTACAACGTGGATCCCACCATTCGGGAGCGAGAGCTGCGGGAGCGGGAGATCCGGGAGCGGGAAATCCGGGAGCGGGAGTTGAGAGAGAGGATGAAGCCCGGCTTCGAGGTGAAGCCCCCGGAGCTGGACGCGCTGCACCCGGCCACCAACCCCATGGAGCATTTTGCCAGGCACGGCGCACTGACTATTCCACCCACGGCAGGACCTCACCCCTTCGCTTCCTTCCACCCGGGTTTGAACCCCCTGGAAAGGGAGAGACTGGCGCTGGCAGGGCCCCAGCTGCGGCCGGAGATGAGCTACCCCGACAGGCTGGCGGCCGAGCGGATCCACGCCGAGCGCATGGCATCGCTCACCAACGACCCCCTGGCGCGGCTCCAGATGTTCAACGTCACGCCCCACCACCACCAGCACTCACACATACACTCGCATCTACACCTACACCAGCAGGATCCCTTGCACCAAGGTGAGCCCAGGGAACCCCTCCCCTGAGCTGTTAGCGTCAGTCTGCCCCAAACAGGCAGGCTGGGACCCCGGGGTTCAAGTGGCAAAATCCCTGTTTTCACAGAACCACGGAATCTACGAGGTCGGAAAAGACCTCTGAGTTCATCAAGTCCAACCTTTGACCCAACACCACCTTGCTTACTAGACCATGGCACTCAGTGCCACATCCAGTCTCTCCTTAAACACCTCCAGGGATGGTGACTCCACCACCTCCCTGGGCAGCCCAGCCCATTCCAGTGTCTGATCACTGTCTCTGTAAAGAATTTCTTCTTAATGTCTAACCTAAACCTCCCCTGGCGCAGCTTTAGACTGTACCCTCTTGTCCATGGTGTGATTCTGTACTGTGTAAGGTTGTAATAACTGAAATGCAGGTAGTTTCTGTGAGAGTGAACCAGTAATAGTGAAACAGGATTGGTAACACCACAGTGATGCTCACTGAGACTCCACACTGTCACTGGGAAAGGTTTGCTGGTTTGTGGTTTGTTTTTGTTTTAAATACAGGCATCCTAGGGCAGCACCTTAGAGTGGTGTCTGGTGAAACAGGGCAAGGGTGACACTGCTGCTGCTCGTGGCTGTTACCTTAGGAGGTATAACTGGACATGGTGTTTCCATATAGGAACTGAAAAAACAAATTGGAGAAAAACTTCCATCTCTTTAGCCCCTGAACATGCTAACCACCTGGCTTTAGTTGAGCTGAAATCCTCTGTCACAGTTCTCACGAGAATCATCTAAAATTGTGCACTGGCATCTTTTTATTTAGGGTGTATTCTTATATCTGGAAACTTATTTCCAGAAATATTTAATAGCCTTGAATCGATGCCTTGCTCATTTCTAAAGCAACTCCTCTAGAGGTCTGGAGTCCTGAAGATGAGGCACTAAGCAGAAGTTTCCAGATTTTTTAGGTGGCAGACTGGAGAGAACGTGACAAGCCAGGCACCAGGTGCAGTCACTTCCAATAAAGGGGAAAAAAATCCAAGTACTTAAAGTGCAGGTTGTGGTGGTTACCAATGCAGTGTTTGTGCAAGCAAATGTAGCAGACTTTGCCTTGCAGCATCGTGCATCAGATGTGCTGGGAGAGCTGCTTTGGGGAGTTGGGAGAGAATTTGAGTGCTGCTGCAGAATGCAGATTGTACAGCAAGGAAATCAGCAGGGTGTTGTGACATTGTTAAGGGCTGGGGGGTTACAGTTAGGAAGTGATAGTGGTGAGTGTCAGCACTCCTGAAGCTGTTGTTTGTGGCCGTGGCCTTAGAGTGATGCAGAAATCACAGGCTGGCTCAGTTGGAGGCAGGTTTGCATGCCCCAGATAGCACAAGGAGTTTGCCATAGGTCATGTCTGTACCAGGGTTCTGTTGTCAGGTAAGTCAGTCACTCAGCACCTCTGTGCAGGTAAGTCTGATAGTCCCCAGCTGGAGAAAAATATGGTTTGTACATTCTGCCTCTCAGTGCAGTGAGAGACTGGTACAGACAGAGCCAAGTCAGTCCATTGCCAGATCTCTCCTGAGTGTATTTGAAAAGTAATTTAGCTTTAATATTGGATGGCAGGTTCAAATACAGTGAGGGGCTCCTAAAATACAGCTGTGTGTCTCTAAGTAGTTCTTTGCTCCAGAGTAGTGGTCAATGCCGTTATAATCCAATGTCTCCTTAGATTGGAGATGAATAGAAGGCAAAATGACCCCAAATTTCTGCTCTGGACCAGGTACCAGCCGAGGGAGAATCGTGTTAGCTGTGTTATTCCTTTCCCTTGCAGTCCCTCTGCGATCCCAAGGCAGTTGACTGATGCTTTCTTTCCTTCTTTCCAAGGCTCAGCAGGACCTGTTCACCCGCTGGTGGATCCTTTAGCAGCTGGACCCCATTTGGCACGTTTTCCCTACCCACCTGGGACCATCCCCAACCCATTGCTAGGGCAGCCACCTCACGAGCATGAAATGCTCCGACATCCAGTCTTTGGTGAGAGCATTTTATGGTCCTTTACAAAGCTTGCCTTTGGTGTGAGATATGGTGTTTTCCTGGCGGGGGGAGTTGAGCTGCAGCAGGTCGGTTCTGTTGGTTTGTAGGGACAGCTCTGCACACCCTGTAGCAAACAAGTGTCTATAAAATGGGCCCTGTCTCTCTTAGGTACTCCTTACCCACGGGATCTGCCTGGTGCCATTCCACCTCCCATGTCAGCAGCCCACCAGCTGCAGGCCATGCACGCCCAGTCCGCAGAGCTGCAAAGACTGGCAATGGAGCAGCAGTGGTTGCACGGGCATCCTCACATGCATGGTGGGCATCTACCGAGTCAGGAAGATTATTACAGGTGAGAGATGATTCCACGTTGTGCAGACGTGGGAGATCCCTTTGTATTTCTTTACATTTCATCTTTTTTCCTTCTGAATTTCTGCCTTTCTCGCTGTGAGTCACTGTCCTGGTGCAGTTACAGGTGAAGCTTTACTAAGACCTGGTTTGGGCAGATTGGAAGCAGGGTCCAAATTACTGGAACAAGATTAGACAAGCTGAGTCTTACATTGCAGGATTCCCTCTGATTGGGGTTTTTAGTGTGATGCTGTGATGGCTGTTTCCACATCTCCTTCTCTTCCTTGAGAGCAGTGGAGGGTGGGCAGAGGGATTCAGTCAGTCCTGAGAAATGACTGAGGGCACTAGGAAGTTGAAGTGTGTGAATGATACAGGTCCTGCACTGCCAGCTGAGAAGGCCTGGATCAATCCTGGGAGTTGTTTCTCCCCTGACTGCTCTGCAGTGTTGATGGTGAAGTGGTTCTGTGTGACACCACCTTAGTTCCTGTTTGGCAGTGACCACTGACAGCATCAGCACTTCACAGGGATCATTCCATGTGTGTGTGGGTAGCCAGGATATCCAGGAAGCAGCATATTCAACTCCTGCCCTGCACTCTGATGTTTCCCTCCTTGCTCCTGCTGTCCAGAACTGCCTGGTGGCCTCGTGCCACGGGGACAGCCAGTCTGCCACAGCTGGGACTGCAGATAAGGCTGGAGCTGATGACCTGGCACTGGTGCTGGTGCTGCCATGGCAGGGGCACTTTGGGGAGCAGAAGGTCATCACTCCCCCCTGCACACACAGAGTTATCAGTGCTGGGACAGCACACTCAGTTTTGGGCTCTGAGCTCAAAACCTGCAACCTCTGTTCCCTTCAGGGCACCTGGGAGAGGTGGCAGGAAAGCAGAGCTGGCTCTGAAGTGTCTGACACCCCCTTCTCTGTGTTAAATCGAGTTTTTCTTTCTCTTGCAGTCGACTGAAGAAAGAAGGTGACAAACAGTTGTAATAAATTATTTATTTGTAACGCTGGCTGTGGAAACCCCAGTCCTTGGGAAGGAGTGGAACATTTTTACATACGAGAAGAGCTACAAAAGGAAAAGAATATCTTATAAAGATTTCTTTATATATTTAAAACAGAAGCAACCACCCAACAAGTAGAGACTTATCAGCATAGTGTTCATTTGTAGAGAAGGTTTCTCAAGACTGGTGTGGGTCTCCCTGCATGACAACGTATTCAGAAGCCTATTGGAAATACAGGACTGTGTGGAATATTCAGAGAACTTCCTGCAATCTTGGTTTTTTTTTTTCTTTTTTTTCCTTTTTTCTTTTCTTACTAGTTTGTTTTCAGTAGGTGCTAGAATCAGGTTCACAACACAAGTCACTGTGCGTGAAGAGACACTCAATGCATCTATAGCTATTTAAAAAAAAACAAGGATTGCAAGTAGGTGACATAACAAGCTCTGAATCCAAGTGCTATAATAATAAAAATCTACTTTTATTTTAATACATTGTAGGAAATCTTCATAATTTTAAAGAGAGCTCAGTTCTGCAGCATGGCTTTTTAAGTCTGTAAATATTAACTTTTTTTGGGTAGAGGGGAGAAACAAAAACAAAACAAAACTCCAGAAACGTTTATCTTGATTTTCAGTAACATCACAAATTGTGAATTCCTACCTGGTATTGACAGAATACAGAGTTGATTTTTTAATAAAATATATATATATAATTATCCCTTTAATTAAAGGGAGTGATGGGTATCAATAATTTCAAATGGGTAAAAGCTTGAAATTTGGTTTGATATCAACAATAAGCATTAAAGGGATTTGCAGGGATAATGTTGCAAATGACTGTTTCTGTTCTTGGGTTTTTTTCGGTTGGTTTGGTTGTTTGGGGGTTTTTTGTTCGTGTTCCATCTCTCTGTTCTGCAGATGATTTCTGTTGAGTTGGGTTTCTCAGCAGCACAGATGTCCCTTGGAACCAGCCTGACCCTTTGGATCCCTCCTTCGGCGCTTTCCTTTTCAGTGTGGCCACAAAGCACTTCTTCCCTGTGACCTTTGGAAACTTAAAACCTGAGGACACTGGGTTTAGACTGTAGGCAAAAAGTTCAAAGAAATAATCTGTTCTAAAGGTCTCTTTTTGAAAATGTTCCCAGCCAGAATTTTGTCTGCATGTGCATATTTTGGAGGATGTGCTCTTTCTGGCCTCCTGTTTGAGAAGTTCTCCAGAAAAGTGGACTAAGGCAACTCGTTAAAAGTTGTTTTGCAAACACCAGTCTGGTTTTTCTCTTTGAGTGTTTGAGTTTTGTTTTTATAAGCAAAAGCTCTTTAACTGCCACCAGTGTTCTGCATCTCAGGAACTTTTATTGCTTTGGCATTAACCTGATTATGGACAGTAACATTTACTGGCTCCCAGCTGATCCATGTAGGATAACTCCTGTTGGCTACTGAGGGTGGTGAGAGGAGAGGAACACACAGAAGGCCAGTGAGCATTATTCTGGAGACAGCTCTGCTTACTAGGCAGATTTTTTTAAAACATTTTTTCCCTGTTTTGCCACTTTTTCTTTGCCAGAGCAGAGGGTGACGTGACCAATGGACATCTGAACATGCTGGTCATTTTTTTTTTCTGCTGGTGCACAACTTCCCCCCATTCTCTCTCTTAACTCATGAGTGCTCTCTCTCTGCTGTTGTAGCCTGTTCAGTGTGATGGTTGTGTCCTAGGACTGTTCTGAGCCACCTGTGATAAACTTGTAGTTAATCAGTTGTTCTGATGGAAGTTGTGGCAGGCACAGTGCTCACCCACCTCCTGCACCTCAAACCTGCCTGGAGGTTGGTGTTGGACAGTCAGTGACAGCAATTTAAATTAAATTTATGCTTCTATTCCAGGCTCACTTAAGGCAAGAGTGAGGAGAGAGACAGGAGGACTATTTCAGCTAATGCTGATCTCCTTTTTCTGCCCTCCATTCCAGATTTCTCAGTGCTAAAGAACTGCAGTAGCACTTACCCAGTTCCAGCTGCTCTGTTTGAACTCTGTGGAGGTTTGAGGAGGAGCAGCTGGTGTTCCTGAGACTGGCAAAGCGTGAGGTCAGTGTGGAATCAAGGAAGGTGAAGTTGCTGTGGGCAGTGATCAGGTGAAATGTTTTCCTTCTGAGCACAGTTTTTTACCTCTGCTCAGAGCTGAGTACCCAGGAAGAGGGCTCTGCTCAGCAGAGTGTTTCAGTTTGCTTTACAGGTCTGATTAGGCACATTGCAGTTAAATCTCTGCCCTCATTTTTTCATACCATGTGGAATTTGGGGGAGTTCTGCCACTTCAGCCATTTCTTCTGACCCTTCTCTTTGCTGATTTTTAGCCATAGTTCTTAAGAAAAACCTAACTGCCTCCAGTGGTCCTCTCTCTGTATCCCTTACTTTTTCAGCTGAAGTTGGCAGTCTGTTCAAATTTATTGGGTTTTTTCCCACAGAAGAACATTCTAATATTTTATGGGAGTTCTTTTGTTCGCATCATTCAGCAAATAAGCACTGAAATTCTTCCATTTCAGCCCAGTGATTAACTACAACTTCACATGCAGTGGCTTTTGAAGCCATCTCGGTGTTCGATGCCCTGTTAAAAAACAACCCAGACCTTTTTGGTTTTCTTTTAAGAAAATCTCTCTCTTTCCTTTTTTTTTTTTCTTTTTTTTTTTCCTCTGTTCTGAAAGTTTTATTTTTCAGACTTTGCTTTAGTGTTTCTGAAACGTCTCTCTCTTGTTCTATGTCGTCATGGTTGAGCTTGTTTCACTGCACCGTTAAAGCAGAGTGTACATTCTGACTGCTACATTTATATATATCTTGAAGCTTAATGTATATATGAGTAGTTTGCCATGGGATAACACAGTGTAAACAGAGTAGAAACCCAGAAATCGTGACTTCTGTGTTCTCTCCATTTGAGTATTTTGTAATTTTTTTGAAATATTTGTGGACATAAATAAAACCAAGCTACACTACAGCAGCCAGGTTTTGCCTGCAAGCGAAATGTGTCTGTTGATTGTTGTTAGTTGGGGGGGGGGGGGGAAGAGTTGCTTTCATCTGGGATAATGTGGGATGCTGGCATGTGTGGTTCAAACCTGTCTGGGTTTTTTTGGCTTTTATTTTTTCCTTCTTTGAGATCATTTTGGTTTTAAGGTACAGCACACAAACCCCACCGTCGTGTCCAGTTCCAGCTCTGCATCCCCGAGGCACGTTGCTGCTCTAGGGTCAGGCTGCTCAATTTTGGCATGTTTTTTCCAGAGGTTAAGCAGTCAGATGGATAAGAATGGATGTGTAAGGATGTGATTTCATGGATTTCCAGTGTACAGTGGCTGAGCACAAACCAGTAGCTAAAATGAAGTATAAAGTGTGCAGAAGCTCTCACTGCCTCAGCCAGAGAACAATGGGAAGATGAGAACTAATCCAGAGAGGACAATTCCCTAATTTCAGTGGAGTAGGAAAGACTGTCATCTCTTAAATCTGCTTGTGAACCTGCAAGGGAGAATGAGGCCTGATGACTTATGAAGTGTAAGCTTGAAATTCAATATAATGCACTATATACACTCAGTAGAGGAGGGTTTGTGCACATTTTTTGCAAAGAGATGTTATTTTGTGCCTTGCACACAACTGATACAGAGCTGGCAAGAACCACATTCCAGAGGGGTAACTGCAGGGAGGGAGATGCACAAGAACTCTCTTCACTGTCTTCTGAAAAGCTAAAATTTGCCTTCAAATCCCATCAAGTGACATGTCTGTGTCCGTTGTAGTGGCTCCCTGTCCTGCACCCAGCAGGGATTACACTGTGTGTGTGTGTGTGTGTGTGTGTGTGTGAGCTGGCTGGTGAGCCTTCCATATTTCCAGTTTGTGATAACTGGCATCCCCAAAACTTAGGGAAACGTTGGGATGCCACGGAGAGCCGTGGTGAGTATCTTTGCAGAATTAATTGCTTGGTCAGAAGGGAGTGGGAAGGCTGCACATTCTTGACCCGGTTCTGCTGTGGTTTTGATCTGTGATTTTTTTTTTCAGAAGTAGTATTATAGACTAGAAGAGGTATTTTGACTCCAGGCTAATTAGTGCTGGGAGCATTGTGAGCACAGTGTCCTGTTTTCCAGCTAGCTCAGAGCAGACAGAGGAGTCTCCGTGACAAATGGCATGAGAGGCTGCTCTATTTATACCCTGTGGCATTTTATGAGGGGAAGGTCAGTTCTTGTCTGCTGGAAATAGCTTCTGAAAGTGCCTTTTTTTTTTTTTCTTTCCTGAGCCTGGCTTGAACATGTGCTATTTATTTTGACATTTCTTTTTTTAATTCCTTGTACTTAACGTAGAACTCGAATGGGCTCAGGCTGCCCCTTTCTTGCCACAAGGTTCTGAGTTTCCGGGTTTAAAATGATGAATTCTGCAGGGGGAGAGGGGCTGGAGAGGATTTTTATTGCTGGGTAAATTGAAAACGATGTTAGTTCTTATATTGTGGTCTCGTGTTAATGGGATCTTGGGTAAAGGCTGGAAGCCCATCAGTGGAGGGGCTTTGTTACATGCACAGTGCCAGAGTTCACCTAGTGCTGTGTCAGCTGGAACACAGGGCAGGTGGGTTGGGATCCTTCCTGGGCCGTGGGATCACTTACAGAATGCCATGGAATGGTTTGGGTTGGAAGGGACCTTAAACACCGTCTGACTCAGCCCCTCACCACGGGCAGGGAACTGCCCTTTCACAGCTGGCATCGCTTAGGATTTAGGATTTTTAACGAGGAGAAAAGGTGAAGCAGGTGCAATTAATTGCCCGTTAATGAGGGAAGGTCGCTCAGGTGTTGCTGCTTGTGAGATTTCTGCACTTTGCAGGAGCTCCTGGTGCTGGGTTTGGTGCTTGAAGCCTTAAAACCTGTGTGAGGGGCTGGGCTGAGGCACCTGAGGGGAGGGCGGGGCCCCTCAGCCCCTGAGGGAGCCCCTGGCCCAGAAGGTTCTGGAAGGAGCTGATGGAAGCCCCTCAGGTAAGAGCCTTTCCCCTGCTGTGGTGGGGAAAAGGTGGTGGGAGGGAGTCCTGGGGCACAGCCTGTTCTCCCAGAGCAGCCACGTTGTTTTACCTGGGGAGGGAATCCCACACCTTGGGGTTTGCTGTCCCCCAGCCCCTGGCACTGCTCCTCAAACCTGGCTTCCCCTCTGCCCCTCCTGGTGCTGTCCCTCAGTCCCCAAAGCACCTGGGTCCCTCTGTTGCCCCTGGCAGGTTTGTTCCCCTGTCCTTTGTTCCCTGGGGCAGCCCAGACCCCACAACCCAGGGGCTTGTTCTCGTTGCTCAGGTCTGTCCATGTTGCTGCTCATCCAGGTATCCCAGGCAGCTGCTCCTGCGTGGCAATTCCAGGTCTTTTCCCTCCTTTGGTTCCCGGGTGTGACAGGTAAGCCTGAGAAAGCCTCACTGGGGTTTGTGTTGGGTCCTTTTTTAGGGTGGTTTATCTAAGAGATAGAAAGACTCAATGTCTGATAGAGGGAAGAGCCTTCAGAGCCTTCGGGGGGCCCCTGTGTGTGTACAAATCACCCTTTGCAAACTGCTGTGCTGCTCCTTTCCTTCTTTAATTAAACCTGATTTTCCTCGTGGTGTTGACTTTGCAAAAAAAAAAAATCAAACTGGAGCAAAAGATAAAACCAACATATTGCAAACCTTGAATCCCAAGTGGGCAATTCAGCCAGGTTATTGCCTTTTGTTCTTTATAAATGCTGATCTCTGTACTAGTGGTAGCTTTCCCCCCTTGCAAATTCAGCTGCTCTTTCCCACTTTCTGCCTAAAGAAAAATCCAGTGAAGGAATGTGGCAAAAAACCCCATTTATCTGTGTAAACTCTCAGATGTTTTGACAAAACTTGAATTCTAAAAGTCACCAGTGGCACCTGAATCTTGATCTAGCACGGGTTTCTGACACAACATAAGCTTGTCTTCCTTGAGGCTCACAAATGTGAGAAATGAGTCTTCACAATGAATATTGGTCACATCCATTTTCTGGTCAGATGAGTAATGGGAAAGGTTGGGGAAAAGACACCACAAAAAATAGCATTTAGTGAGTGGAGGACACTTGGCAGGTGAGAGTCACATCCAGGACAGGGTTTGATTGCTGTTTTACAAAACCTCAGGTTTTGGAAGTCAGAGTATGTAAATTTTAGGGCACTAAATCAAGCCCAGCTTCAACATAAGCATGAATAACTTTATTGATATTAATGCAGCAGTGTTCTTTCCCGTGCCCCAAAGCACACAGGTAACTGAGCACAGTTGTCCAAGACAGGGAAAAGGTCAAAGTGATTGGTTTTGTTGCCCATTCTGTCCCTCTGCATGACTTTGTTGCGTCTTTCCAGTTCCTGAGTCCTGTTGCAATCCCTGTTTCATTACTCGTTAGCTCTTTAAATATTTGTCCAGTGTCCTTACCTGTGGCAATGTCACCAGGAGGAGGAATTCCCTGCTCAGGTGTTGCTCATGAACACTCCTGTCTCCTGCTATTGCTGCAAGGCTGAGTTTCCTGCACCAGGGAACGGGTGTATGGGAGAGAAATTACAGACCAAATTGATGGGCTGGCCTTGGAGAACAGCTGTGTGTGGTGTCAGTGGAGCTGTATTTCACTTTGCCTGGGGTCTTGGTTTTGCTGGAGTCAAACCTGTAAGGTGGAAATGTCTCTGGCATTGTTGGAATGACCCCTAATTGCAAAGCCTGGGCAGTTAGAAGGGATCTCATTCTCGCCCTGGTCGTGGCTGGATTTGTGCTCTCAAAACACCCACCCACAGCTTTGTGGGGGGGAGTTTCCTCCCTGGAAGCTGAATTGTTTTATTGTCATCCAACTGTCCCTTTTATCCTTCTCTCCAGTCCGTTCCTTCACAGCTTAATGCTTTTTATAGAGTGAAAAATAAAATGGGCATCAACAGCAGGGTTTTAAGAAGTGCAGGGAGGAAAGGAACACTCCACCCAGTTCCCCTGAGGAGCTGCAGTCAGGGTCAGCACTTGGTTACTCTGGGGGGTTTGTCACAGAGGGAGTGTCTGTGACAATTATTGGAAGTAGGGGTTGAGGATTAATGTATTCAGTGAACACTGCAAAAGGGCTCTGCCTCTGGTGAAACTGTCCTTTAACTCACGTTCGTTGTTAAGAGGAATATTAATTGATGTTAATTCTTGAGAATGTACTCGTTGTTAAGAAGAAAATTATTGACCCAGCACTCTGAAAACTGCTGTAATAATTTATACAGTAAAGTTTCTTGGTTTAGAGAGAATTTAACAGTCAGAATGTCCATTTTGAAATACATGAGGTGTGAAACTAGAGGGTTTGTAGTTTGTCTGTCCTTCATCCATCAAGCTGCTGTACTAACACCTGGGCTGTGCTGAGTTTTGATATCTGGTATTGATTAGGGAGGTGGAATTGCTTTTCTTCCCCAGCTGACTGATATTATTCCTTTAGAGTAGATAAGACAGTAAAACATAATTTTTATTGGTTCTACTTGCATCTGCTGTTTTTACTCTTGTAACTGTTGTGTAGTGCTGAAAGGGGACAAATCTGGAGCACAGATTTCAATGACAGCAGCAAAACCCACAGGTCTGGTTTTGTTCCCTGCCATTTCTGTGCTGGCTGGGGACACGGATGCCAAGGGCAGTGAAAAGCCTTGCTAGGTCTGTGCTCTCACCCTGGAAACAGAGCCACTAAAAGGGGTCCCTTTGCAGCACTGGAGCAATGGACTGTGCATCCCATCCCTCAGGTGTCTCCAAGACTTGGGATGTGATGAACTGAGCGAGGGTTGGGGGGGGGGGAAAACCCTCACGGTGTAAATTTGGGGTGGTCTCACAGCGTCCCACGGCAGCACCAAGTCTGTCCCGGTGTCACTGTGTGAGGGAACCTTCCCAGCCTGGTGACAGAAACCTCTGCCAGTGTCGAGGTACACAAAGCAGGGAATTTTGTACTGGAAAAACGGGTTTCCAGACAAGCTCTCTGCACGTGGTGTCGCTGCTCTCACCTGTTGCTTTGCTTGGTGCAGATCGTGTGATTCCA